ATTCATTTCGATTACCATGTCCATTTACACCATATAATTGTTCAATGTATGTTGAATTTATACAAATTGGAAATACAAATAAAATATCTGCGGAAGTAGAAAATCATTGTTATAAATATTCACATGTTTGTTCATTTGGTCGTCAATGTAAAACAAAAGGTGAAAAACATTTTGAAACATCAATTCATATTGCTCGTAAAATATGTTCTGATATTGATAAACGTTTACAACTTACTGACGAAGAACATTTAGAATCATTTTCTCATCCTGGGATACGTGATATTCGTCTAGTCTGTCTAGAACCAGGTTTTAAATGTCCAGACAGATTGAAAAATGAACATTTGAAAAATACCGACATGGAAAAAATCACATGCTGTTCAATCTACTAATCTTAATGCATCTATTAATTTTGTGCGTAATCAAAGTCAATTAATAAGAACTGTGAATAATTATGTTGATGTATCCAATTAGAAAAAAGTAAAAATTTCTTCTGAGATACTCAATTGGGTACGTATTATATGAGCTTATTAAAACAATCAGGTTATGTTGCAAAAGCAGTGCGACAACACAGTCGAATACGTTTAATTTTTCTTAAGCATAATATTCCTGCAGTGAAAGACAATGCATTTAGACTAATAACAGCATTAGTTGAAGCCGAATTTGCCAAGAAAAAAACATCTGATGGAACAACTCCATTAGTTGATGACCATGACTATGCTATGAAATTAATTGAAAAAAAGTTGATACCACCTTTAACTGATCATGATATTAGTATCATTCATCAGTGGGCAAAAAAAATTGCTCAAGAATCAATAAAACTGCATGAAAATCCAATGGGAATTGGATATATAGTTGATCGAAGTTTAGGAACAGATAAACATGTTTTTAGCATTTTAGGACCTCATTTAGGACATTATTATGGTGATATTATTATTGTCTTCAAAAAAGAAATAATGTTTCATCCTGATGCCAATTTTTCCATTCAAGCTGGAACTAGTTTTGGTCCTAGCGGAAATGCTTACAAACGTTCATAATTCGAAATTACATTGTTCTATTCCTCGTTATGAATATGCCGCAGCTACAGAATTAATGGCTTTAACTGGTAAAAATAAACAATCAATGGATGTTACTCTTACGGATATTGTTGATCGATGGATGAATGTAGACTCACATGAAGTATTTGAAGGACATTTACCACAATTTATTCCATTAGATTATATCGAATATGTGTTTATGCCCAAAAATCTATTCCAATCATTGACTCCGGAAGCTCAACAATCAGCCAAAGGAGCTTTTAAAGACTCCCTCTTAATTTAATTAAACCAGGCAGTATGATGCCGTCAGATGCAACTCGTCAACCTTATCAAAAGTTTGTACTTGATAAAATATTTAAAAAAATTGAACAAAGACTTAATGAGCCACAGATCACACATGGCATTGTCGTTACGATTCCAGCCTCAAAGTTCGAAGAGCTGATTGTTTTACCAATAACTATTTCTCAATCAAATACATTATATTGTCTTGATAAAACTCAAACATCAAATAATCCTGAATTGGCTTATATTTATTGGCAAGCTATGAATGGTGATATGATGTTAATAATATCCAATGAAGAGATAAGTCCAGACAAAGATCAATCTAATCTTCAATGTCTCATATGTTATGTTGCTGCAAAACTGTCGACAGCTACAGAAGATTATCATAAAGCCTATTCATATTTAAATGATGGTAGTCCATATCAACATGAAACTAATGTTCATACAAATCAATTTAAAGCTAAATCAAATGTATTCTATCGTGGCTGTAATACTGATGACTATTTTACGTTTTGTTTGAAAATTAATCACAAGACAGAAGAAGTAATATTATTCCATGCTGGTCCGAATGGTATTTACAATCATGAAAAGATTCAATATCGATTTGGTAAATCTGAAATAGATTTATCAAGAATAGATTTTATTTATGTAAGTGCAGGAATCAAGATGTTCCTATTCGTAATTTAATGATTAATCATGAACCAATGCCTGAGTTGCATCCATCATTTGATAAAGATTTTAAAATAGATACTTCTACTGTTGCTACACATATTAATGATAGCACTCCTAAATCAAATATAAAACGAGCAGCATCTTCAAGTCAACTGCCAACAAAAACAGAAAATGTATCTGTTTTCAAAAGAATAAAGAACGCTCTATTTTGTTCTTCTATAAACGTTAATGCATCGATATCCAATTCACCAAGATCTAATCCACCAATACCCAACTCAACGACATTACAGGCACCATCAAAGGTTTCATCAAAATTACCTCCTTGTCGTGATTCTGTGTATTGTCTGAATCAGAACTTGAAAGATCATATTAACAACTATTCCCATCCTTGCCGTTTTAATGAACTATGCCGAAATAAGGATAGTGAACCTCATCTTGTTCACAAACGTCATAATGTTCCTAAATGCTCAGAAGATGAAAATTGTTCCAAACTAACAGATCCTGTACATCGTGCACAGTGTCGTCATACAAGTTTACCTGATTATCTTATTCCATGTCGTTATCAAGACAATTGCTATGAAAAGTCCCCGAATCATCGAAAAAAATATTTTCATGGTGAATCATTACCTTTAATTAAAAGTAATTTCTTAAAACGATGTGTAGTTATTGATACAAATATATCTGTTTGAAATCTTTTTAGAAAACAATACACTAACAAAAATGCATTCCGAAGATGCAACAAAAACTCATTTAACTCCATGTAGATATGGGAATCAATGTCGATTGATGAAAAACCAAGAACATATATCGAAATATTCACATCCTAATTCTTAATTGTTCGAATTTGAATGGCTAATATACAAATAGTTCTAGTTACCCATTCAACATCATAGATTACTATTGCTTCTTTAAATAAAACCTATTAATTAACGTGTTGTTTTTAAGTTTTATTATTAAGAAATCCGAAATTCTAATGAATTTAACGTCTAAAACTTTTAAAAAAATATATAAATTGAATAGAAGTGAGAATAAGCATTATTCTTTTCTTGAATAAATCTATAATCAAACAAAAACAAAATCTTCCGTTGCTAAAGTTTATTTTAATATTAATAATAAAGAAGAGAGACTCCTATTATCTTTTACTATAAAAAGAAACAAAGTCAAAGAACAAAATGTTTATGGTTGGTTTATATTATGTAAATAATGTGTTACATTGAAAAAAGAAGAAATAGTCACACTTTTCATATATAACATGCAATACAAATTACAATTGCTGAGTACATTTCGATTTGAATAATATTTTTTGTAAATGTTGAAATCTATGAAAATACTTTTGGATCTGTCTTCTACAAAGATATCATCAAGAAGTCAGAATAGACTATGAGAGACATTCTATCGAAACAAAAGTCTATCGTATTTATGTTAACTAATGACACAAGTTGAAATGATCAGTTAATATGTAAAGTAAACGAAAGCATATCAGTAAAAATATCTTTTGTTTTTTTTTGAATAAGCAGTACATCAAACAATCACTCATACCAAATTATGCAAGGATAATATAAAAGTTGTGTTATGTTTTAAATCCATAG